CAACAGTATATATAGCAATCTGCTGTAAAAATGTGAATATTTATCAATTATTTTCCAGTGTGAATCTGACTCATCCCATCGTCCTGATGGATAGGGCCAAAAGGGGTCAAATCAACCAAAATTTCCACAATCATCTTCTTCAGACACAGATATGCTACAATCAAATCCTTCAGGTGGATGGAAAGGCACTGAGCTGAAGTACTTATAATCAAAATGTGAATTACACAACTCCTTGGTCATCAGTTCCTCTCTCAGATGACTATTAAGGTCCATGGGCCTCTTGTTGGACTGATGAAACAAGAATCACACAATACACTACCACTTAATTGTATTTTAGGTCCAATCTTACATTCTTTATATATAAAGACATCAGACACCCTGTAGATCTAGACTGTGCAACTAATGGCAGTGATTACTTCTGTTACCATCCCGTAGGACCCTGCCTGTTACCATCCCTGTTACCATCCCTGTTACCATCCCTGTTACCATCCCATAGGACCCTGCCTGGTACACAAACATAGAATATCAGTGGCCTTTGAGAGTTTGACTCTTCACATTTGATTCAACTATGTTCTGCTGGCGAAATTTTGCCAAAAATAGATTCCATTTATTTGAAGCCCATGCTTGCATGTTGGTGGCGTGACTAAAGGTCTATTGATTGGCTGGACAGGAAAAGCAATATATCAGATGTGTAAGAAAAACTGAAGATGGAAAATTTGTCCAGTACAGAAATGTACCGTGAGGCTGATATTCCTATCCCTACAATGTCTCAGTTGTCACTCACGGTGTATATTTGATTCAATTCTGATGTCTCCGGATTGGTCTTTCCTTCTTTATTGATCAATTGTCTCAGTAGTTTTGCGAAGATTTTTCTTGATTTACATGATGTATGACGTGCTGTTATAAAAATGCAAATCTGCACGAACCAGATTCTACAACATTAGCAAAAACAAGAACAAAGAATAGAAAGCGTTTTGTACATTTACACAGCTCATTCTTATCAAAGCTCCATCATTTATAAAAGGTCTCCCTTCTTTTCTCATTTTCATTAAACTGTGAGTTAGGAGTATATCAATGCTGTCAGAAAGACTATGTCACTCGCAGCGTCATGCAGTATCACTTATAGTCTGTTATCAAACTGTACATCAATCATATTGTATAGTTAAGGATTGAGAAAAAAAGCTGATGCCCTCTAGCATTTAATAAAATGAATCAGTGTGATTTTATTGTTTCTTATGCATGTGTAGATATAAAAGTTAATCGTGAAGTTTACAGACAAGAAGACAGTTTGGTTAACCAGTAGAGACTACATATATTGATACAGGTTGTAGAAGGTTTCATTCAATCTTCAATGATGGTGGGTTTTTCCAAGATCTATTTTTTTCTATCATGACCAGTTGTTCCAGGATCTAAATTTATTCCCTGTCATGGCCAAAACCACTGAACAATGATCGTGAGAAATTTGGGATCAGTGGAAACTCTGACTAACATTGATCCAATAAAGCTTGCAAGCCTCTCGTATGTTGGCTAAATCCCCAACTTGGTTAGGACTAGATTGCTTGCCTTATACGATTATCTGTGACACAAAAATTAATTCACTCTGACTGGAAGTTCATTTACTGGGGTTACAGAGAATTAATAAGAGGTACATACCTGTATTATCATTTAGGAGTGTTAATTATATTTGTCAAAGTTACAATTCCAATTCTTATTAAAGGTAATACATTGATACTATTATTGTATGGTTACTTTATACTGTTATTGTATGGTTACTTGATATTTTATTGTATGGTTACTTGATACTGTTATTGTATGGTTACTTGATACTGTTGTTGTATGGTTACTTGATACTGTTATTGGCTATTATTGTATGGTTACTTCACACTATTATTGTACGGTTACTTGATAATGTTATTGTATGGTTCCTTGATACTGTTATTGTATGGTTACTTGATCCTATTATTGTATGGTTACTTGATACTATTTTTGTATGGTTACTTGATACTATTATTGTATCAAGTAACCATATAATAATAATTGATACTATTATTATATGGTTACTTGATACTATTATTGTATTGTTACTTTATACTATTATTGTATGGTTACTTTATGCTATTATTGTATGGTTACTTCACACTATTATTGTACGGTTACTTGATAATGTTATTGTATGGTTACTTGATACTGTTGTTGTATGGTTACTTGATACTGTTATTGGCTATTATTGTATGGTTACTTCACACTATTATTGTACGGTTACTTGATAATGTTATTGTATGGTTCCTTGATACTGTTACTGTATGGTTACTTGATACTGTTATTGTAGGGTTACTTGATACTGTTATTGTATGGTTAATTGATATTTTATTGTATGGTTACTTGATACTGTTATTTACTTGATACTATTATTGTATGGTTAATTGATACTATTATTGTATGGTTACTTGTTACTATTATTGTATGGTTACTTTATACTGTTGTTGTATGGTTACTTGATATTTTATTGTATGGTTACTTGATACTGTTACTGTATGGTTACTTGATACTGTTATTGTATAGTTACTTCACACTGTTATTGTATGGTTACTTGATACTGTTACTGTATGGTTACTTGATACTGTTATTGTATAGTTACTTCACACTGTTATTGTATGGTTACTTCACACTAGTATTGTATGGTTACTTGATACTATTATCGTATGGTTACTTTATACTATTATTGTATGGTTACTTGATACAGTTATTGTATGGTTACTTGATACTATTTTTGTATGGTTACTTGATACTATTATTGTTTGGTTACTTGATACTGTTATTGTATGGTTACTTCATACTGTTATTGTATGGTTACTTGATATTTTATTGTATGGTTACTTGATACTGTTATTTACTTGATACTATTATTGTATGGTTACTTGATACTGTTATTGTATGGTTAATTGATACTATTATTATATGGTTACTTGATACTATTATTGTATGGTTACTTGATACTATTATTGTATGGTTACTTGATACTGTTATTGTATGGTTACTTCACACTGTTATTGTATGATTACTTGATGCTATTATTGTATGGTTACTTCACACTATTATTGTACGGTTACTTGATAATGTTATTGTATGGTTACTTGATACTGTTATTGTATGGTTACTTGATACTGTTATTGTATGGTTACTTGATACTGTTATTGTAAGGGTACTTGATACTATTATTGTATGGTTACTTGATACTGTTATTGTATGGTTACTTGATACTATTATTGTATGGTTACTTGATACTGGTATTGTATGGTTACTTCACACTGTTATTGTATGGTTACTTGATGCTATTATTGTATGGTTACTTCACACTATTATTATACGGTTACTTGATAATGTTATTGTATGGTTACTTGATACTGTTATTGTATGGTTACTTGATACTATTATTGTACGGTTACGTGATACTGTTATTATATGGTTACTTGATATTTTATTGTATGGTTACTTGATACTATTATTGTATGGTAACTTGATATTGTTATTGTATGGTTACTTCTTACTGTTATTGTATGGTTACTTGATACTATTATTGTATGGTTACTCGATACTATTATTGTATGGTTACTTGATACTGTTATTGTATGGTTACTTCATACTGTTATTGTATGGTTACTTGATTCTATTATTGTATGGTTACTCGATACTATTATTGTATGGTTACTTGATACTGTTATTGTATGGTTACTTCATACT